AATTTTCTAGTTTTAGTATATCTCTGTTGCCGATCGTGTTTTCGCTAAAAATATCAAATATAAAATCCCCTACTCACCAATATTTTAGAAGTTTGAGTCATGTAAAACAATTTATTAATTTTAAGTGGCCTTAGCCCACATGGGGTAGAGTCAAGATCCCCAAAAGCAGGGGTGTGAAGTCACCCTTTTTCCCGAATGTCTTCATTCTTTATTAAGTTTAAAACTGGTGTGCTTTTACTTGTACTGGAAAGGTATATAGTGCTGCAAAATACCTAGGTGTTACTCAGCTGTATATCCAGTAAGTCCGCTACTTCCTAAATGCGGGCTCCGGCAACATGGCGGCTCCGCTCGAACCTGCGACTCCTGCACCCTAAATGTTAAGTCAAAGCCGCCCTTTAAAGCTGGCCACGGTGTGTAGGACACTCTTTACCGACTCGTCCATTGTATGCGCTTAAAAAGTAAACATATCTTGTAATTCTCCTGTTAAATCTGAAGTGGGTTACGTTCTGACTGACCACCAGGATTATCGAACAAAGAGAGAGAGCGGTAAGGAGCATGCTCTGATATCCAACGAAAATGGGGTCCAAGGGGAAATTCTCCCGTTCCCTGTGGACGGAAAATTGGACATTGGTAGGCCTGGGATGGGGGGGGGGGGTTGATTGCATCATGTTAATCATACTTATGTTAATCATACTAATCATATGTTAACCATGTATTTTCAGCGATTCAGGGACAATACGTCAATGTGTTAATCATTAATCAATGGAACACCCAAACATTAACAGTGATTCAATGTCATATAATTAATATCTATATACATATCTCATGTAGAGTCTAGAAGCCGAGGCTGTCTCCAGTAAGTTCCGTACAATGGGTGGACTTTACCTTGCTACCAAAGTGAACCAACGGAGCGGGAGGATTGTGTTTGTTATACATTTCAGCTTAGTTTGTTGATGTTTCATGACCAATCAGGACTTAGAAGTCCTGGGAGTTATGTTTTATCTACTGGTTGCTCTGGGTGCCGGGTGTGACTTGGTACCAAGTGCCAGAGTGTGATGGGAGCGCTTTGCTGAACTTGCTGGAATAAAAGAGATTTTCTTTACTCACCAAACTAAGAGGTCCAGACTTTTATTCTAAGTCCTTGATTTATAATTTTTCTACCACAGTGTATACTTTTGAAAAAGTAGTTTTCCTCATTATGTTTAGTTTAAATTTTACTTGCATTTCTTTGAATATTAGAGGACTTAGGGACAGCATCAGGAGGAAATCGGTGTTTGTTTTGTAAAAATGAAAGCAAATTTCACATTTCTTCAAGAAACATTACTGGGTAGATGAAAAGTTTTGGTCTAGTCAGTGGGCAGACAGAATTCTGTATAGTCAGGTTTCCGCGAGATCTGCTGGCGGAGCAATTCTGTTTTTCAGCTTTCCTGGGAAAATTTTGGATGCGAGACGTAACATTTGGGACTCGAGTAAATTGCTGAGCTGTGCAATATCAATATCCACACCGTATGTTATGCACGCGCAGTTTTCAAGATGCAAGGACTAAGATAGTCAGATGGACTGAGATTAGGCTTGGGCGGTATCTAATTTTTTACACAGTGTAATGTCCGGACAGTATGTTTTCAAAAGCACGTTATTTTGCAATGCAGCGTTTTGAAATTGTTACAACAAGACTTACCGAACAGGAAGATATTTGTTCAATGGAGAAGAAAGTTTAGTAAGCGTTGCGGTTTTAGTGATTGCGCCTTTTCAAGGTTATCTAATTTTTGTTTTAAAAAAAATCTAAAGTTCACTGCTGGTATTTTTGCATGAGCTCTGCATGCAGTCTTTGTCCTTGTTGTTGCATTTATAGATGGTGTGATGTGTTTCTTACAAATTTAATAAAAACAAGTGAGGATGAAGAAAGCAAACAAGAACCAGTTATGGACACAAAACGGCGTAAAAGCGAGGGATTAGCTGACAGAAATCTTGACAACTTTATAAACTTACTTGGACATCATTGGTAGATAGTTATTCCAAATTACAGCCAAAAGAACCCAACTTTCTGCTTCAGAAATATTACAATATTGCAGAATAATTCAAATACTGTGAATTCTCTCAATATCATGCAGCCACAGTGCATACTAAACACAGAACATTTAGAATATTTAAAAACAGTATGGCAGTCATGTTAAAGGTAGAATATAATCTCTGTGAACCCTAGTCTTTATTATAAGCATCAGACGGATCCAGCACTACATACCACAAAAATACCTGCTCTCATAACAATCTGTGGCTTTTTTTTTTCCATAAATCTGCTTAAGTGAATGTTTAAAAATAGAAGACATATCAGACTCTATGAACTGAACGTAAATTTATTCTCCGGCTCCCTCTAGTGGAAGAAAAAAGGTAAGTCACATTTTTAACTTGGGATAGGCTTTGACCCTACAGTGACCCGGCTCTCCAAACCAGTTACACAAAATACATGGATTGACAGATGGATGCTCATTAAATTCACAGATGTCAAGTTATGGTAGGTCAGCTTTCCAGTCCATGTTTATCAGATACAAAAATAAAGGAAACCTGCATGAATAAAGGACAAGATTCATATTAGAATATAAAAACTGAACTTTGCTAGTTAGAATTCCTGCTAATCATTATTTAGGCAATATGTATTAAGGGAAAAACTTCTGAAATGCACAGTAAGCCCCTCATATTATATTTTAAAAAAATACCTTTACTCCGTTCAAAATGGTGAATGATTAGCCTTCAGCAACATAGCATTACGATGCTAATCAGCGCAACATCACAGCAAATGCTCCCTAAAGATACTGGAGTATCATTCGATCAAAAGAATACATAAAATTAAAATCGAGTTAGATGCGGGTTATAATGGGCATGACGACGTCCACTGTACAGTATTTACAGTAAACTCCTGTGAAAGCACATGAGGAGCCTGTCATGTGTGCAGAAAGAAATCTGTTACCCATAAATACCAGGAGAAAAATATGTACAGCTTTTTTCCAGCTAAGGTCCAGCATAATTGCCCTTCATTTGGGGTGGGCTTCTTTCCCCACCAAGTTAATCAGAATGGACCACTGGCTGCCGTCTTCAGCCAAAGGTTTGGTCATTTTGTGCAGAAAGAGGGATTTGAAAACCGAAACATTTGGGAATTTCGTTAGCGCCTCAGAACGGCCTTTATTTTCCACGGTTGACTGGCTCCCCTAGAAGGTCGGGGCAGTGCTCATGTCCATTGGCAATGTGGTCACACTTCCGAAGGAGGTCATAGTTGATTTTGTCAGTGATCACGCTGTCCTGCTTGTACTCCGGGTGCTTAGAGACGAAATCCCGCATCCATTTTGCCATAGTCATCAGCTGACCTGCGTGGGATACAGAACACTTGGTTATAGCTGGGGGGCTCTCTGTGACAAGGGCATCCCAGAATGCACCACTGCCAAACTCCAGTATGAAATCCATCCTCATTCTAATCTATGCAATTGGTGCTGCTGAACACACAAGTTCTAAAGCAGAAACATGAGCATGTCCAAGTGTCACTGTAAGGAATTCCACCAACCTGAGGCTCGTTTCTTGATTAGCTTCAGATAATTCAGTATGGTGCAGCGCGTGTCTACATCCACCTCCATGTTCTCCAGGTAGCAGTTGAGGATGGGAATGAGTCCTTGGAAGACGCCCTCCTAAAACAGAGGCATCGGAACATTTTGGCTAGTCAGCAGCCAGAATCTGGCTGGGATGGGGGACAACAGGACACTGACCTTTCCATTGATGATCTCATCGATTGTCATCAGGGTGTATTCCTCATGGTCATCGCCGCTCTCCAGGCCGTTTGGGGTGGCTGGAGCTCCCTCCACTACAGCATTGCAGCCTGGGGGGGGGGGCAGCAATGTAAAAGCATACTTTAAAAGATGAGTGTAAACTGACACGCACTTAAACAGTCAATATGCAGTTCGATTATGTAAACGGACCAAATGTGTTTCAGTTACTAAGTGCTTCAGCCACGCAGTTTTCAGGTCACACTACCTCCTGTCCATCATCAGGTTCTCACTGATGCAAGAGCAACCTTGAACTACAGATTCGTCTAAACTGCAGAATTCACCCCCATCAGACTCGCCTTTAAAAATATCCTTCCGGAAGTAAAACTTCCCATCCAGCACAGCATTGCGTTTCTGGGCGACCTTCATGTTCTCGTCTACCTGAGGTGGGACCAAGCAGAGCGACCATGTGACAGGAAACGCAAGCTAAGCGCCTGACCGTCACACCAGGGTTTTCCTGATCTCATGTTAGCGCACGTCATTCCTACCTTCGACAAGGGGATCAGGAAGTTCATCTTGTAAGACAGAATGACCCTGGTCAGTAACACAATGAAAACAACGTAGGCAGCATTCTCGAAGTCAGTCAGCTGGACCTGGGTAGGAGGAAAACATGAGAAGTAAAAAAAACAAAAAACAAAACAAAAACCCCACCCAACCCGGACAGGAGCTTCACTGGGCATTCACAATCTCTCACATGGGTTTTGGTTCCAGTCTGGATATCCTGCACTGATCTTACCTCCATGGGGCGGAATTCCACTCTCCATCCAATATCGGAGTTTGGGGGGGGTGGTTTGAACCTCATAGTCTGCCAGTTGGTCGACTGAATATTCTTTACAAAATAAGACAGAGTGTTTGTCAAAAAGATGACCCAGTGTTTAACTGTGGGACATACCTGGAATAACCCTACAGCCAATCATTAATCTCAGTCACCTGAACACCAGATCAGTCAGCTTAAACATGCTTAATGTCTAACTTCTGTAGTTTGCAATCAGTCAGGCCTTCAGATCCTGTGGAAAAAGGACTAAGTAAGGCAGCAAACAGGCACAGACCTCAAAGTGATCCGACTCATTGTCGTCATCCAGATTAATCTTCTCCTCGAACACAGAGAGTGGGTCTCGGATGAAGAGGTGCGCAATATGTTGAGCGAGCAGTTTGTCGATACCTGACAGGGGGTTCCATTTACCAAGATTTAAAATCCACAAGTGTTCAATTTGCAAGCAGATCACAGGACAGACACAAAAGCTCAGGAAATGCACAGGAAACCTTTTAGCTCCTTACCTGCCTCCAGAAGCTGTCTGTAGATCTCCTCGTCTATCGTTAACTCTATGTCATTGTATTTTTCGCCACAGCCGGAGAGGTAGCTGTCAATCGAATCGTATCGTGACTTAAAGATCCGGAATTTGCTGTTTTTCAGTGGCTGCAAGGAAGACAATGATAAATTCCAAACCAGAAACTTCCCCATCTTCCATATCATCCTCAGGAAATCAGAACAGGAAAGTCTATGTCCCTGTCAGACACGCAGACTTCACACACACAGACATAACGACCTCTGCAGTACAGTTGGAGCAGCTGTGTTGGGCCACCAGACCTTACCTCCAGGCCCCTTTCCTCACGCGTTCGGTCATCCACAGAGGCGGAGATCACACCCCAGCGGCAGTCGATGTCTGACACGTAGCCTCTGTAGAACGGAGAGGCTGCACTCAAGGCCATCTGAAAAGAGGGAAACCTTCAGCTCGTGGCAGACGGGGGGCATCCACAAAGACACACAGGTGCCAAGACCAGCTTCGCCAATAAAGTCTGAAAAGTCACTAGATAGGGGTTTGCTCCCAAACCACACAAACCATCAGAAGTTAGAGGACTGTCCTCACCACTATGGGGCACATGGTAGCCAGCTGGTCGTACAGGTATCTCGCCTCACTTATGCTACAGGCCTGGAACGTCACCTGCAAGCAAACGTAAGTGTCAGCCGTACCCTCAGCCCCCACTGCACGCTGATCATTTGGTCCATCATTACAAATCTCACTAGTGGCCTGTTGTGTCGCCTGCGGTGGACGTACCTGCAGACAGCAATTACCCATCCCGAACCCCATGGCGTCCATGTAGATGTGGTCAGGCAGGGCTGCCGACGCGGCCTCACCGTCGTCCTCAGGAAAGGTCTCCACGAATGGAGACGCCGTGTTTTTGTCCTTAAAAACTAATAAGACAGCAACATTCACAATCCATCCACACTTCCCAGTCACCGTGGGAACATGTACACATCACAAAGATGTATGTACTGGGCCGCAACAATCTGCGGGAAAAACTCAAGCCGAGTTCAAAGAAAGGCAGACTTAAGAGGCGTGATTACTTTGGCAAGCATTCAGTCACTTGCTTATTGTTGCAGAGAGTGTAGCTTAGGCAGCTCTGTTACCTTTGGACTGTCACATTGTTTTAGAATCTGCAGTGTTCCCGTTTACTGTAGATAAGATTCAGAGTGAGCTAAACGTAACTGGAGTCCTTCCCCTGTGCATTTTTTCAACATAACATTTAAAAATAAATAAAACTGCAGGCAGGGCTGGAGCCCAGCACCCTGCGGCCAGGCCCGGACGCTCACTCGGGACGTTGATGGTCACTTTTTCACCCCGTCTGTGGCGGATGTTTCTGGTCAGGGTGCTGTGAAGTGAACAGCACATCATTTGATTTTCAAAACGTCTCGATGCAAACACATGAAAATGCAAATTATGCTGGTGGCTTTTGAAGAATAAAACAGGCTTAAATGTCACTTAGTGAAATACACATTTTTGCACAGTAAAGAGTAAAGGTAACACTTCAGAGTAACGGTCTCCAGTGCACCTGTCCCCCTCCCCACTAGCCAGCCATTTGTCAGGTTGGTTTCCTATCCACGGCTTTTGTTTACACTTCTGCGCATGAGTAAAGCTGGTTTTGCTTGCTCATGAGAGGCAGTGAAGTTTCCAATGATTCCGGCCACGATGCTGCTCATAGTCTCCTCTGACGTCAAGACTGACTGACTCATCTTTCCATAGCTGCTGCTGAGCGTTATGTAGCCAAGTGGGCAGGTGAGGCCGACCGGAACACACAGCATAGCACGTCACCTCTCCTTTGGGAACAGTTTTCACCCCACTATGACTGGACAACCAACAGGCAAGCTATATTGGTCTGTGTTTAATGTCTCAGAGTCAGAGATCCCTACAGCCTGGAGAACGCCTAACACCCCCCCCCCCAGCCGAGACGAAGCTCCCCCCCGACTCCAAGCTAACAAACACGCTACCTACCTGAATCTCGGGTGTCTGTTAATTGCTTCATCAGGGAAAAACAGAGATTTGGAGACTCCCTCTTCCACCGGCGTGGGTTTATATTCTGGCGAGGTGAAGCCAGGACAGCCCAGTCTGAAAGGTCCAACACAGACATGAATTCAGGGGGAAACCTTGCAGCCCCCCCCACAGGGCCTCCATCTCAGAGCATCTTCAGAAACCCCTTTTCTTTATCATCAGCCCCAATAGAGACTGCACAAAGCTGTTCAACATAAAGTTAAAAGTTTCACGGTTACAGGGTCAAATTCAGCCCCAGGGCCCCCAGTGTGTGTGTCTATTGTCCTCTGGTGCGTGACAGTAAAGCAGAATACACAAACTTGTTCCTAGGCAACGTGACAGAGAGAGGGAGCGTGAAAGGGTGCCTGTTTGTGTAGAAGCCACTCTGCACTGGCAGTAACTTCCCCCAAAAGTGACTTTAAGGTTACTTAAAACCAGAGGACAACTGGAAATCCACTGAGAGACAGCTGACATGGATGAACATCAGTTTTCAGAACAAGTTTATCGAGCTAATGCGACACTCGACAGTATCCAGCTGAAGTTTGAGGCCTTTCCTGTCCTTCCAGGAATAGCTGTCCTTTCCAGGCCTCGGGGGAGCACTCTGATCTTACATCTTCTCCTCCATCAGCATGAGCCAAAGCAAACAGCTGCCATGGAACCAAAGGAAGGGAGTAAGCGTTCACCTGGGGAAGGAGGTGATGGTGCACAGCGTCTCGCTCTTCCCCAGCACTGAGGATGCCTCCTGCCGCCTCCTGCCCATGTTCTTCTCCACGGTGTTAAACTCAGACATGGTCCCACCATACGGCTGCCCTGGAGTTCCTTCAATCATGTAGCTTCCATATTCTGGCCTCCAGAGTGTGGGATGGCTGGGTCACATGGGAGGAAAAACAGTACAGGAGCAGTTAAGTGTCAGAGACTAGGGCAACGATCATTTGGTAAACAAATGAAAGCTGGAGATGAAAGCCGTGAGCAGGTGATACTGCAGACAGGTGGCCAGACACCTGTCTTGTTTGGGGACCCCCTGGGGAAACCGCCCCCCCCAATGACCTACCCCCAAGGGCCTCACTTACTTTGGGTTGCTCTTCTCACCATTGTTCTGGAGTGTTTCCAGAACCTCTCCCCCATTCAGCACGAGTCGGACTTTTTCCTGTTCTTCATCCATTGCCACGAGCATGTATTCCACCTTAAAGGAAAATGTTTAAATCTGGTAACATATTAAAGACAAAGTGACACCCCCATAAGAAATACTGAAATGGTGGCCTTTATTTTATCCATAGGGAACACACTATAAAGATGACGAGGCCCCCGGGAGACATGCCGATAATCTCTGCCACCGCATTCAAACTGCGAAACATCTTAGGGCTTTCGGTCTGTGTCCCTGAAAAGCATTTAACTTTGCTGATAAAAAGTGTATGCTGACGAGTCCAAACGCCTTCTGGTATCTCTTTACGCAAAAGCAGCGATATCAACATTTGTTTTCCTGCCCAAAACCGTTTTCAGCACCTAAGCCGGTTTGAATGCTTCAGATAAACAATCAGGTTTCTTTCACCAGATGCTTAACACAGATGTGTTGACAGTTATGAGACAGAAGCTAGACCAGAAGTTTTACAGTAAAGCAAAGGAAGACTGTCACTGCTCGTCATTATGCGAGATCCAAGTAGAACAGCTGGAGCTGAAGAAAAGAAGATGTCATTATGTTCTCAAAATTATATTAACAGTATTTCACTCAACACTCGTACAGCACACAGCAAGGCCAGAGTACCTGCGAAGAGGTCACACAGAACTTTACGCACTTCATGTTAACTTAACCCTGCTGTGCTCCAGCTTTCATCATGTCATGGATTAAGCTAAAGCGACAGCATTCCTGACGTAGGAAACTAGGGCTGCTGTGTGTATGGCACCATTTACCAGGAAAATGCCGGTGGAGACCCAAGACCAGAAACATGTCCAGGTATGGAGAAATAAGGCATTACCACATACAACCCTTGGTACTTAAGAAAAACAAAACAAAATACAAACATTTAATTGCCAGCAATATACTGGCCATTATGATGGGGAAATGCATGCTGCAGAACGTCATTACATGTCACTATGAAGCTCTCACCAACCCAATTTATTGCAAACACTGCAAGAGTATGTTGTCTTTAAAATACAGGTTTTGTGCACTGTAACTTTAAATGTAGTCCATACAGCGCAATAGGCAGGCGGAGCAATCCTGTGACTAATGTGCCGAATTTGTACAGGATTTCTACTCATCAGTTACCCATTCCCATCATTTTAAATACTAGATTCTTATAACTGATGTCCGGCTGTTATTTTATTAAGGTTAAAGTCCACTAGGATGGCGGGGAGCCGCTAGTGCCCATGGGAGGGAAAATGAGCCCTTCTGAGAGATTTCGCTTTGCTTTTGCGTTACTATTAAGCATTGTATCGTGTCCGTTTAAAGTACGACATAGAATTAATGGACTACTAAAACTAATATTTTATATGTATTTATTAAAAACTACAATGTCCATTCATCACTATAGATTGTAAGAGAGACAGGAATTGAACGGGAAGTGCGCACATAGACATTGAAATAGTACATAAAATCCGTCCGTCAAGAAAACTGGCAAACCAAGTAATGCTGCTTGATTTTGTTTAAACATACTGCTGCTAGAACTGGAATATGAAACTAACTTTGCGCGGTGTCGGAGTTGAGGATTAAATCCGAACCCGCTCTCTGGACATTTCAGTGTAGGGCGGCATAATCCTAAATACACCTTCAAGCGAGAATACCAGCGCAGTTAACAGAAATGCAGAAGTTCTGCGAAGTCTCGCAATAGGACAGGAAATTTTCTTCTCTCCACTCATACATCTTCGCTCCATCAGCTTCCCCTTGGGGCTCCGGGTCACTTTAACAAAAAGGGGGGCGTTTTACCGGCATCCAATTCGCCGCGGAAATGACACGCGACCTGTCCATGCGCCTAAATGCGCATCTGCTCTCGGCCAGAACGGCATCGCCGCACTCCAGAAACAATTAATTAACGCTGGAGCAAAAAAGTGCGCAAAAAGGCACGTGTCACGGGGGGGGGTGGTTTGAAGCATTGTGTGTGGGGGGTCCTCACCTCGTCTCCCCATTTGAGGACGTCCTTCTGCCGATCCTTCACCTTGTTGTAGATGTTTAAAAACTGTATGATGCCGTGCTGCCGAATGTAGTCGGCGTAGCGCCGGGTCTCCTCCCAGCCCAGCGGGGAGCCCTGTGACAGCAAACCCATGGCGCCGATGCACTGCGGCCGGCGACTGCGCTTCTCCCTTCACCGTCTTCCAGGGGCTTCAGACGGCGCCGCTACGCGCTTTGCGTACGACCGTCTACTGCGATCCGACACTTGCGTTTAATAAAAAGCAGGCAGTAGTCCAGCGCTCTCCGGCCGGATGGATGCAGCTGCGATCCCACCGGCTTTATCAAAACACCCGAGGCCTATCGGCATCAGTGTTAAAACACAGAGCCCAGTGCTTCCCCCTACCCGTCGACACAACCCCGGGCTATGGCGGAGCAGTGGAACAGGAGACGATAAGGAACGCTCCTGAAACGATCCAGTGGTCCGGGTAACCCGCACAGCTCGCAGAAACACGCCTCCTCCAATAACCGTTGCACTGGATCGCCCGGCCTCCCCGACTTGCACTTAGAGGCCGGCGCGATCATGTGACGCCGTCGGGCTGACGTCATAAAATGACTCGGCAAATTCCGTTCTCTTAAGGGAGCGGGAGGAGGGCGCAGGAGGAGGAAGCAGGAGCAGGCAGCAGGAGCAGGCAGCAGGAGCAGGCAGCAGGAGCAGGCTTTGTATGTCTGTGTGTGGCGAGCCGAGTGTTACTGCTCTGATGTGTATTTCAAGTATTTTAAGTATTCCACTTCTGAAGACCTCGGTGAAACTGCAAACCGTGTACAGACCCTTATTGTAAAGACCTAGATGTTACACAGTTAAAAGGCACCCATGTTTATCGCACGTTCGAAGTTAATGAATATAAGTTATTTATGGAACAAGTGGTTAATTCGGTGGGTGAATAGATAGAATATAATCACATAAATAGGTCCAATAAAATAACTTGTTTTTCCTTCAGTGTAAATTATTAAAAGCAATGTAATAAATATATTGCTATGTTTTTTTTTTGCTTCAGAAATGAGAAAACGATGAGCTGCACACCCCCAGATTGTCAGGCTCTCCAGTCGTGCCGGTGTCACTTCTGAGAAGGTGCGCAGTCCGGGATCAGAAATGAATTCCAGAAATGCGCGTCGCTTCTGGCGTAGAAATATTTGTACTGACATATATTGTCTGACTTTTTAAAAAACATAAAATCACGTTCAGCTTATTAGAGTTTTAATGTTTAAGATAACGCTATTTTCCCTAAAGCTGTACAGAGATAACCTCGCTTCTAATACATGATTAATTTTACATGTTGAAATATTTCTTTCTTTTTCTCCATTCTCCAAGTTTGTTAGAGTCACGATGACTAAGCACATACCTAGATTTAAGATAATGTTTGAACAATGAATTACGCTGCCTGTTGATACAGGTGTTGCCTCATATTTATTATACCAAGCCTCTCCTTATTCCTTATGATTTGTTTTGATATGTAAGCCTATTGATAAGCATTTAATGGGATTCATGTAATAATAATAGTATATTTTATTTGTATTACACTTTATATTTTAGCAATCTCAAAGTGCTACAGAGTAAAATAAATAAATAAAATAAATAAACAAATAAAACGAGAATCTATAAAATATTTTAAGAAAATGTCTTTCTAAAAAGATGAGTTTTTAGGTTTTGTTTAAAAGCATCAGTCGACTGTGGGGCTCTCAGGTAGTCAGGGAGGGCGTTCCACAGCCTCGGCGCCACAGATGAAAAAGCCCTACCACCCATGCTGCGGAGCTTGGTTCTGGGGACTTGGAGGGTGTTAGTGTGTACAGAGCGGAGGGTGCGTGAGGAGGTATGGGGGGGTGAGGAGTTCTTGTAAGTAAAGGGGGGCATGTCCATAGATGCACTGATGGGTGAGGAGAGAGACCTTGTACTCTATCCTGAGTGGGACAGGGAGCCAGTGAAGGGTTTTCAGGATGGGGGTGTGTGGTCATGCTTTCGCACTCTCATTTATACTGCATGCAAACTAATTTTTGTGGGATGAATTCACCATTTTACAGATGAATTTGTGGCATACCTTTCATCGTTTTGCAGATGAATTTGCGGCATACCTTTCATCGTTTTGCAGATGAATTTGCGGCGTACCTTTCACAGTTTTGCAGATGAATTTGCACCGTACCTTTCATCGTTTTGCAGATGAATTTGCGGCGTACCTTTCATCGTTTTGCAGATGAATTTGTGGCGTACCTTTCATCGTTTT